TAATAAAGGTTTGGCACAGAATTAGAATGGTGGCACAACTAATTCACACAGCAAACTAACCCAGTAAAATAAAAGCATGTTACTGTAATTGTAGACAGCATAACAGTTAACATAAAACAACAGGACATGTTCTTAGGATTAATAAAAAGTCAGCAAGCATTTTGATCACCCAATTAAGTGCAAGAAATAATAATGTTAAAAAAATTCTAGCACCTGATTGTGTAGTCAAATGGAGCACAGCTTCACCTCATTCACTTTGGAAAACAGACATGCACTTTGCAAAGTGAACAGCCTCCTCTACTCCTTTAGTAAATCAACCCCACAGCATTAACTCTTCTTCACTCCATATCAGGCAGACAGCATAGAAAGTTATGAGCTCAAAAGATTTATGCCAGGTCCAACAAGTATTTTTTCAACTTATATAACGAATTGCCTTCAGTGTATTTATGAGACGAAAAGGGAGCATACAATATATTAGAAGTTCAATTTTAGAGTTTTTATGTACTTTAAGACCTTGGTTCTCAACTGGTGGGTCTTGACCTAAAAGTTGGTCACCGCATGCCTTCCACTGCACTAGGTGAGAGGCTCCTCAGCCTACCCCTAGCACAGCACTGTCAGTTCTCGTGCTGAGCAGCCATTCAGCTTTAGGTGAATTGCTCACAGCTCCCTCGTGTGACCGGGATGATATAAAATTCTGGCTTCCGGCACCTCTACAGGGAGTGCAAAGGAGCTGTACAAACAATGCACATATGGATGGAGCTCTGTTACAGCACATCAGCCCACACTGAACCCCTAAAAATGTTTTTGGGAGTGTGTATGTGTGTGTGAGATTGTGTCTGTGGATGTGTGTGTCTGTTTTTTTTGTATAATAAGTTTTTATTGAAAGAAATTTTCATACAAAAGTACAAAAAGTAGAATTACACCTAAACACACATTTAAGGGAAACAATCAGCCAAAGAGTGATCGCAATACATATAGCAGTACGTATTTCGCTCAACACACGAAACTTATCCTAAAATCCTGCATTAGCATAATAACCCTTGAGCCTAAACGGCTTGATTGCGGGGAGGTGGGAGGAAGACAGGGAAGGGTATGGGGGTTAACCGGGTGGAAGGGTAGGTGGGGTATAGGGGTGGGAAGTTGTAGGAACATTTCTCACATTACACATAATATATATGAACTATCATAAGTTATACATGGATTGTGCTGTTGCCCTCGTCGCCCATGACCTAGGTCTGTTCTGTGTTTGCTATTACAAAGGTTTTTTTTTTGTTTTGTTTTTTGTTGTTGTTTTTTTTTCCCCCCGTTCATTCCAGCCTATTCTCCGATTCCTCCACCCTGGTGAGAATATGTGAGAGATCTGCTCTCATGCTGGAAAGGTCCTGCTTGAGCGAAGTCTCCAGGACTTGGAACATATGAGCCAGGTCAGACTTCGTTGGGAGGTCTCTCATGGCGCCTGACACCTGCAGATCCTCCTGTACTGTAGCCGGGGAAGAAGCTTCCGATTCGCTAGTGGACCCCGGGGAGCCCGGAGACCGTGGCGTGGCCGGGAGAGTAAGGGCTTCAGATCGATCGGCGGGCGCCTGCCGCGTGGTAGGCCGCGCGGGGGTCTGTGAGGATCTCGTGTCCGCGATCAAGTACCTTTTCAAGATACCGGAGGCCGCCTTTTTCGAGCCAGATGAGCGTTGGCCGTTCCGTCCCATGGTCGTGGCTAGACGGATGATGGGTCAGGTGAAGATTCAGTCGTCTTACGGCAGTTTTTTGCGGGCTGAGATGGGAGCTCTGCTTAAGTGCGACCGTCCAGCGCCATGCGTAAGCCACGCCCCCCACCGGATGTGTGTGTCTGTTAGTATTTTCGTCGCAAACTACCACGCAATAGCACCTAGTGTTCATTCTTGTGTGGGAAGTGTGGGAGGTGCATCGTGTTGCAATTAATTTGCATTGCACCCCGAACACACCTCCCGCCCACAGTTTAATCGTTTGCACTGGAACATGCGGTACTGCAATGCCGTGTGTTCCAGTGTGGTAAGACTTAATGACCACAGACAAATGTGGGTCCTGAGGTTTTACAGGTTGAGAACCACTGGTTTAAGACATACCTCCCAACTGTCCCTCATTTGGAACCAAATCCCTCTGTCCCTCTTTCCCCCATAGCTGTCCCTCTTTTTGGTCTGATATACAGATATCTATTAAAATGTACTATTTAACTACAAGTTGTGTTATTCTTCACTAAAACTTTTATTAGATCTCCTAATTAACATTTTTACTATTCCAAACAGTCACTATAAAGGAACATTAAAAAAGAAAAAAACTATTCTGGGTTTTACCAAACCTTTTTTGCTATATACAGTAAATTCTTAATTGTCCACATTCCTGGGGGAGTGGCAGGGGCATGTCTATTGCCTAAATACATTGTGCTCTTTGTCTCATCTCAGAAAGGTGGAAGGTTGCTTTAAGGCTGGAAACCACATGTTATCACTGTCTCTTATTTCTGCCATTATGACAGGGTTATTTTTCTAAAATTGCATTGGAGTTGTGTTATTTGGTCAGTTCTTAGCATAGTCCCAGTTAGGCCCAGTTCACATCTGTGCGATCTGAGATCGAAGGGCGCTCCGTGTGGTTTCGTGCACGATCGTTACGCAATCCTGGAATCCTGCACAAACGCAAACCACACTTGCGGTGCCATTAATTTGGAATTGCACCCCAATTGAGGCTAGCAATCCTTGCAGTTGCGTGCCGCAGTTGTCATGCAAAAAGGTGCATAAGCCTTTTTGCTGTGGTTGACGCGCGGATATGACACCATTGAAATCAATAGGGACCACCCGGTTCCGTAAAGATGTTAACTGGGCCTCACAGTGTACCTATACCCATTTTGTTTTTTGCATTTTGGATAGAATAAGGAAAGGTTATAACCCCTGTCAGGCCTTACTTCTATCCCAGTTTCAGAGATTTCCACAATTTCTGTTCTGGGAACAGCCTTTTACCACATAGGATGTGAGGGAAAACCTGCAGCAGGGAAACAGACAACAATAAAAAGCTGACAGAGGTTCCAGCAATCCCTTATGTAACCTTAAAAAAAAAGTTGCTGTTAGTGAGATTTTCATTCAGGAACCTCTTCAGTGGAGCCTCCAACTGCAATAACACCTGACAGGAGTTATATTTCTTCCCCACTCTATCTAAAACTAAAAACAAATATATGGCTTTAGATGCACTTTAAAATGATACCCAGAACTGATTACTTTGCTTGAAATATTTTTGAGTTGCATTTTGCAACTGTTAAAGTTATGATCTTCAAAAACTGTCAAATGTTTGCTTTATGGCAGCAGATTTAGTATAGCAGTAAAATTTGAAGCATCTGCTGCTCTGTCCTTCATTTCACTGCAGGGAGCCTTTCATCTTTGGAATTAAATTGGCCATACATATAAAGATGTGCTTGGGGGCAATCAACCCACCTTACTGAGCAGTGAGTTTGAAGAAATTAGGAATCTGCTGTGAAGTTTAGTAGCTTTGTATTTTATATGGCTGACATGTGGAGGATTTTTTAATCTCTGAAAAAGAGGAATTTTGCATTGACGTGAAAATGGCATTGCACCATACATTTAAGATTAATATATGTCCCCAAATAGCAGGTAAGAAAATGCTAGTTAGCAAAACATGTTCTGTGATCTGATGAGCATCCAAAATCTTGGTACATATTTCCTGCAATTGTCGACTTAGCTCAAAGTTCCTGCTGCCCACCTTCCCTTCTCCATCTCACAATTCCATGTGGGGTTTTCAACAGCTAAGAGATATACACATATATAGCGTCGGCTTTCTGTAATCTCCTGCACTGCATTACCCAAATTGGAAGAAGGAGGAGCCCAACCTGTAAGCTAGCCAGGCTCTATTGCGTTGAAAGACTAACATGATGTTGTCACCCTATAGGTGGGCACACACCTTACGATTATCGGACGTCACTTTTCGTCCTATGATCGAACCGTCGTACGATTGTCGTACGGCGGCCCCATTATGCCACGATTATCATAAGGTTCAATTAGCCGTAATTAAACAAAAGCACCTGGACGAATTGCGGTAATCAACCGCACGTATTTTCGTTTGCACATGAGCAGTGTAGATCGTACGATTTTTGACGTACGGAAACGCCACTAACCTTGCAATAATCGTATGACCGGCCAAAGTTTTCGAACATGCTTGAAAGTTTTAAGTCGTACCATTGTACAGTATTTGCAGTTGCACACTGCCCACACACCTTGCGATTATCGGACGAAAAGTCGATCGCATACGATTATCGTCCGATAATCGTAAGGTGTGTGGCCACCTTATCACTGGGAGCTTAATAGCAGGAAGAAAGAGGAGATTGGAAAACCTAGTCAGTGTGGCAAAACTAATTTATTGCCCTCAACAGAAAGAGTGCATTGGAGACCAGGCTATATAAAGAGGATGCAACATATTTTCAAACATTTTCTTTATATATGCACATAAAATAGATCGGATTGGTGTAAATAATGTTATTATTCTGTGGTAATATTTTTGAACCCTGTTTCCATGTAAAATTTGTAATTATATATGTACATGGGGTTAGCCATATACTGTATGTCTGCTTACATGTGCAAGTTTTGTAGTGCTACACAGTGGAGTTGCTTTACTGCTACTTCCCAAAATGCTTTAAATTGTCTGACTCATTGAAAACAATGCATTCCCTGTGTGACATATCTTTTTTTTTCCATAAAGAAATGTTTATTGGATCAATAAACAAGAAAGTGTACAAAACATAACAGAGACGATCCAGTACTGTGTTCTTCTTAGCCTTTCAGTTTGTTCAAGAGCTCCTCACTAAAGTCAAAGTGTATAGCAAATGTTTTTTACTCTTACAGAAAGTTTTATCTACCTATAACTTTGGCCTAAATTTTTATTATCGTGTACACTAAGGATTAATAGTATCATTTGCAGCCTCTGGTGCTACACTAGTAGTTTTCAGTATTCTGTTATTTCAAACTGACCTCAGATAGAAGGATGGAAAGCCATGACCTGTCCAGCCACTTGTAGGGGTCACTTGCACTTAGCATGAGTGTGTGGTCTGCAATATGGCGAATAAGCAATCCAGTCTTATCTATTCCTGGAGATATAAAAGTCTGAACAAAAACATACACATGTATCATTAATTTTATCCATTTATTTCACTATGATTCTAACTATTATGAATCATTTTTAGCCCATAGGAGAAATGTTTATCAAATGAACAATATCCAACTGCCCTGTTAAAACAGGTTAAGAAGGAAAATTTCCTATGTGAGGTTAAACTTATGTTACACTTTGAGGAAATGTGATTCATTCTTATAACTTTATGATCACGGTCCAGCAATGAAACTTGCTTATACTGTATGTCATGTGAACAGTCTTAAGTTTTAGCATAATGGGTATTTAATTTAAAAAGCAGTAATGTAATTTAAACGTTTATAGGAAGCAACGTGGGTAATTTCAGGACAGATCATGCTTAGATTATGCATTAGGAAATATTGCATGAACTTTGTTTGTAACTTATGTGGCAGCAGGCAAATACAAATGTCTGGGTATAGCATGGATGGCAGATATGTATGGCCCATATTCAGGTGTAATACTGAAGTTCTTCAACTAGGGGAAGTGTTGAGAGGGCTGGAGACTTGGAAGTAACAAACACAGATGAAGCTAGCTGGCTCATTAGTGCCTCTATACAGAGGCGTAACTAGAAACATCAGGGCCCCGGTGCAAGAAACCATGAAGGTCCCTCCCAACCCCCCACCACCATGGGGCGGCACTATAAACAGGCACTGTTTGGTTAACATGAAGGCTGCTGAGGTCCCCAGCAAGCACGGGACCTCAGGCAGCGGCTTCAGTTTAAAAATTTAGTTCCAATATCTGCGTTTAGTATCAGGGGAATTTTCACGAGTAAGAGTACTCGTGAAAATGCCCAGTATTGGCACTGGTGCATCCCTACTTAATATAATGCATTGCTGGGACTTGTAGTCCTACATAGTTGGTGCTATTCTGCATTGCTGTATAATCATCATACAGCAATGCAGAATACCACCAGCTATGCAGGACTAAAAATCCCAGCAACACATTATAATGATAAATAAATACTACTA